ACTTGGGGGTGGGGCGGGTGTTAGTAGCACGTGTTGGGTCTGGAGGGCCACAGATCAAATCTAGTTGTGAATATGGCCACCTCTGCAGCTGCAGTGACCAAATCTCTCCAAAAAGGACAGCACAAGACACACAGCCATCCTCCAAAGACTCTGCTTCTCTCCGTCTTCCTTCCCTTCCTCTGTGCCCAGGATGGGACGTGGGGTTTTTCACTTGCTAAGCAAGTTCTCTACCACTGAACCACACCCCCAGGAGCCCAGAGTGGACACTTTTATGTTGTTTTGAGATAAAAATCTGACATAGCCCAGACTGACCCACCTCAACCTCGAAGGCCACCTGGTGTGGTAGCTGGTGATCCGGTCTGTGGGAGATCCAGTCCAGGACACATGTTCTGTGTCCTCCATCAAAGACCTGTCCCCAAAGCCAAGTCACTTGGATTCTGCTCCTCTGATGGCAGAGTCCTAGGAGCTGGGGCGAAGACAGCCTAGAAATCAGATCCCAAGACTCTGTGTTGGTGGAAGACAGGTCAGATTGATTCTCTCGATGCAGTGAAGATGACCCCAAAGTCCAGAGAGAGAAAGAGACCCAGCCCTGTCAGGCTATGGCAGCAAGGTCCTGCCTCTGTAGGCCTGCAAGGACTGTTACTCAATGGCCAAGGAGGAAGTTAGTTACTTTTCTGTGACAAAACACCATGACCAAGGCAAGTCATAAACATTTATCGGAACATGTGATTCCAGATCAGACTCCTGGGGTAGTACACCCTCTCCCCTCTCCAGGTTATTGTCAGAAGATAGGGAGGGGGAACCTATAGTCTGGAAGGAGCTGAGGGTCTTCTCAGGGAACGGCAAAGTGTAGAGCCCTGGCCCTGGCTTGTCTCCTGGCAGATGCTTACAATGTGAACTGGGTATTCGACCTACACTGTGGCATCAGCTGACCAGACCAATGCTGGCTTTCTGGCCAGACCAGCTACCCAAATGCTGTGTATTGTGCTTTTCTGGGCCTCGGTTTCCTTATCTATGAAATGGGAATCACAGTAATCCCTTCTTCATGGGAGAAGTCTCTGGTCGGCACACTGTGGCCCTCAGCAAGTCCTGGCTCTGGGGCTGAAGAGTAGTCACAGGGGTAAGGAGTACAGTGGGCCAGGCCAGGCCGACCGTGGTAGGTAGGCAGGCACACGCTATGAGACCTGGGAAGCTGAATCTCAGAGTGTCTGTTGCTATGGCACTGACGCCTCGTCAGGGCCAGGCTTGCCGTTGGCCCAGGCGCCAGGATAGCTGCTGGTGTCCCCGGGAGAATGAATGGTGCTCAGTGTGGTGAGGAAACTGCTCAGAGTCCCCTTTGTGCTGCTTTAAGTGGCCGTTAGAAGTGTGGTCAGGGAGACCTGCTGGCTCGTGGCTGTCCTGCAGTCCCTCCACAGCTGGTGCTGGAGGTCTACCCAGCCAGCCCCCTGCTGTAGCCATGACTGCCTACCTACAGCATCCCCCCTCTCCAGAGAAAGGGCTTTTGCCTAGGCTTGACCTGCACTCCAGGCCATACATGCCTCCCTCTAGTCCTTTAGACTTTTGATTCCTTCTAATCTCTCCAGAGCAGGATTGAGCTAATGCCACCTCTCCCTCAAAAAAGGAAGGAAGGAAGGAAAGAAAAAAGTAAAGAACAGAAAAGGAAAAAAAACTGGTCTGTGGTGGCACACACCTTTAATCCCAGCACCCAGGAAGCAGAGGTAAGGTGATCTCTATGAGTTCGAGGCCAGCCTGGTCAACAAAATGAGGACTGTCAGGACTGACAAAAAACCCTATCTCAAAAAAGCAAAACAAGCCGGGCATTGGTGGCACACGCCTTTAAACCCAGCACTTGGGAGGCAGAGGCAGGCGGATTTTTGAGTTCGAGGCCAGCCTGGTCTACAGAGTGAGTTCCAGGACAGCCAGGGCTACACAGAGAAACCCTGTCTTGAAAAACAAAAAAACAAAAAAACAAAAAAGAAAGAAAGAAAGAAAGAAAGAAAGAAAGAAAGAAAGAAAAAGAGAGAAAAAAAAACACAAATGGCTGGAAGGATGGCTCAGTGGTTAAGAGCACTGACTGCTCTCCCAGAGGTTCTGAGTTCAATTCCCAGCAACTATATGGTGACTCACAACCATCTGTAATGGGATCCAATGCACTTTTCTAGTGTGTGTCTGAAGACAGCTGCAGTGTACTCATATAAATAAAAAACAAATCATATTTTTTAAAAAGGAAAACAAGGCAAAACAACAAAAACACATAACCAAAATCAACAAAACAGAGACCAGATTTCAATCCCAGCTCCACAGTTCTTTGGCTGTGTGGCCCTAGCCAGGCTACTGAGCCTGTTTCTTCTTCTGTCACCTGGATCTAGTCATATAGCAGACTGCTAAGAGGACTACAGTAACACTTAGGGAGGTGTATGTCAACACAGGTCCAGGCAGAGGTAGCAAAACTAACAGGAGCAGAACTTCCATGGTTGGATGGCGCCCTCAGTATCTGTTCTCTGTTCCGTCTCCCTCAGCTAGTGAGCATACCCACAGCTAACAGCTCACATGCTTGCTTCTTACAAGCCTACTTTCACTTCCCTTCCACAGACTCGAACCCTATCTATGCTTGGGAGAGGGCAGCAGGTCCAGGTGTCTATAGACTGTACTGTTGCTGTGCAGAGACACCATGACCAAGGCAGCTGTTAGGAAAGAAAGCATTTAACTCGAAGCTTGTGTACAGTTTCAGAGGGCTGGTTTATTAACATCACAATGGGGAGCGTGGCAGGACCAAGGCAGCATGCTGGCACTAGAGCAGGAGCTGAGAGCTACATTCTCATCTGTAGGTAGCAGACAGAAAGAGACTAAGGCTGGTTTGAGCTTTGGAAACCTCAAAGCCAGCCCTGAGAGACACGCTTCCTCTAACAAGGCCACACCCATTCCAATATGGCTACAGCTTCTAATCCTTCTAATCCCTTCAAACAGTTCTACTCTCTGGTGATCAAGCATTCAAATATATCGAGGCCATTTTTTCCCCCCAGGTAGGGTTTTTCAGTGCAGCTCTGGCTTTCCAGAATCTAGCTCTGTAGACCAGGCTGATCTTGAACTCACAGAGTTCTGAAGCGGAAACTTAAGGGTTCTTTGGAAAGTCAGTTGGATGGTATTTTGTTGCGACAAACACGTGAAGGAACGTTTAGCTGAAGTGGACACAGGTGAAAGACTAAGGCAGACTTGTGAAGGAAGGTTTCACTGAAGCAGACACCGGAGAAAGGATGTTCTGCTGATGCAAACACGGAAAGGACATGTGATGAAGAATTCTTTGCTAACAACACACGTGTATTGTTATATTGCCTTACATTGCATAGTTAAACTGCATTTGTCAGCACGCCATAGAGAGAAGCACACTAAGAAACTTCTGGTGGTGTGCTGGACTTTGGCTGACTGGCAGAGTGATGTCAGCTGAGACAGATGCATGTGCTGAGAGGCAAGACACGTGGAGGATGTGATGTTTGGAAGGTAGAAGGACTGGACGGACAGTGACGGAGGCCGAGCTTGGCTTGCTTATAGAGCTCGCTGTGCAACGCTTGCGGGTCTCCAGTTTTCTCTGATCTTTGCTTCCTAGAGAGAAGTACAGCCAAGAACTTCTCCTGGCGTTCCACCTGGCCCCTCCTGCTGACTCAGGCTAAGGCCGAGGCCTGCCTGTCTCTGCTGGGTAGTGCCACCGCTGTTGATTTGTGTTTGCTATCCTGACTCTGACTCTACTGAACTGGACTGCTGGTGTGTCCGTGAAGTGTTTTCGAGTGGATCAAGCTGCCACTGCCGCCGCTGCTGCTGCTGACCAGTGAACTGAACTGCTGGTTTCCAGACAACACAGAAATGAGTTGCTCCAAAGAACCTTTCTAAACAGGTCCCCTTCACTCTCCACCCCCTCTTCTGCTCCCCACCCCCATCCTTTCTTTTCTACTACCTCTGGTGGGTGATGGGCTAAAAGGAAGGTTAAAGCATCTAAGAACCATCATTAAAAATAGGTTTTGAAAAAATTAAAGTTACAGAGATCCATCAGCCTCTGCTTCTCAAGTGCTGGGATTAAAAGTGTGTACCACCACTACCTGGCTATAGAGGTCATTCTTATTCAAACTAGGTAATGTCAAAAGCTGGAGTTCAGTTAGTGGCACAAACCTTTAATCCCAGCATTCTGGAAGCAGAGGACAGAGAATCTTTGTGAGTTCAAAGTTAGCCTAGAAAAACACTCTAGCCCGGCAGGGGTGGGACAAAATTAGAAAGCACTGCTAGCCATAGTGACACCAGAGCTGAAGCAAGAGGGATGCCTGGAGTTCAAGGCTCAGCCTACACTACTCAGTGAGCACCAGACCAGCCAGGACCTGTCTCAATCAAACAAGAGCTGGAAGCAAATGGGAAGCCTGCAGCTGACCCTGGGCAATAGCTCTGAAGACAGGGGGGATTGGGAAACTGTGAGTTCGAGGCCAGCCTGATCTACAGAGTGAGTTCCAGGACAGCCAGGGCTATAGAGAAACCCTGTCTTGAAACCCCTCTCGACTCCCAAAAAAGAAAAACACTCTAAGGTTTTATTTTTTATTTTTTTATTTTTTGAGACAGGTTCTTTTATGTAGCTCTGGCTGACCTGGAACTCACTGTGTAGACCAGACTGGTGTCAACCTCACAGAGATTCACCTGACTCTGCCTCCTGAGTGTTGGGATTAAAGGTGTGCCATACCTGGCTTTATTTTCTTCATTTTTTAGACAAGGTCTCACCGAGACTCTAAACTAGCCTTGAACTTACTCTTTAGCCCAGACAAGTCCTGAACTTTGAACTTTCTGGTTTCAGTTTCTTTAGTAGCTGGGATTCCAGTTCTCTGCCACCAGGCCTGGCTTCCGTAGCTGTTAAATGACCATGCAAGAGACTCTCTTGAGGGGTGTCATCAGCCAGCCAGCCAGTCAGCAGGTGTTGACAGAGGCTGGGTCACATGCTGGGCCTTGGTGGTTTTGACAATCCACAGGAAGCAAGCATTATTTGCAGCCAACAAAGCGGTGGCTAAAGTGTATTTGAAATGGCTAACTTCTCTCTGGTTCCCTCCTGGATTTACCAGTGGTGGAGAACCTGAACTTCAGGACTGGGCACTCTAACAAAGCCTCCAGATCACCACTGCTTCCCTGTGGAGGGCTGAGGGCCCATGACTCTGAGGAAGTGACTGGAAGATATCAGGGCTCTTGTTGGGGGCAGAGGTGACAACATCACAGGAAACCTTGCTAAAGCCTCTCTGCCCACAGGATATGACTTAGGGAGGGCTCATGAGGCACCAACTATGGCCTAAAAATCTGATAGTAGCATCCACACAAGCTCTGGAAAGACCCTGGCCGTCAGCGCTACTGTTACCTGCCACATCTTCCATGCGCCCGAAGCAGGTGAGACCATGCCCAAGTTTTGCCATGGTTTTATGCTGAGTCCAAATTGGAAGGAGCCTTGACATAGGGAACTGCTGGGAGTTCATGCCAAACTTACCAGGTTCAAAGCGAGTGTGGCCACTAGCTGGCTCTGTGACCATGGCCATCTCACCTGTGAGTGTCAGTGTCCTTATGTGCAGTGTCCCTGCATACAAGTGACAATAGAAATAACTCCTGTACAGGGCCAAGTGTAGGACGTAGCCACGTTCTGTCATTGCATGAATGTAACTACTCTCTCCTCCCCCTGGTCCCCTCCCCCCCCACTTCTTGTTTCAGATAAGCAGTATATCCATGAAGGTAGGCTCTAAGTCACTTCCTGGCATGTGGCTTCATCTCCTAAAGCCCTGGCCGGCTCTATGGAGGGTCTTGAAAAATCTCCCTGGCCCTTCCCCCAGCAGGTACTCTTGGACACGAAGGCCACTGAAACCATTCCTCCTTCCAAGAACCTTCAGGCCCAGACAATGTGGGATAAAACTAGAAAGCACTGCTGGCCATAGTGATACCTAGAGCTGAAGCAAGAGGAATCCCTGGAGTTCAAGGCTCAGCCTGGACTACTCAGTGAGCACCAGACCAGTCAGGACCTGTCTCAATCAAAAAGAGCTGGAAGCAAATGACCCTGGGCAGTAGGGTTACAGCTCTGAAGACAGGAGGGATTAGGAAACTCAAACAGAAGGGAGCTTGCAGGACCACAGGCCCAGGAGGTAAACACTGGAAAGATCGGCTATGTCACGCACAGAATTTCAAGACCGTAGAGGGAAGCATAGAAGACTTCAGAACGATCTGGAGCAGGTCTGTGTGGGACCAGTGAAGCCAGGCTGGGGCAAACAGGACTCGGGGTCCATCCTTCCGAGGGGCATTGGTGGAAAAGAGGGAACAGATTGAGAAGGCAAAATGACAGCTTTGTGGATTTCTCTGGAGGCTCCTGGGAAAGGTGATTTCGGAAAAGGGTAGGACTGGAAGGGCCTTAGGGTAGACAGTGGTTATCCAGCCTGCATAAGGCCGGCAGGTCTTAAACACACTAATAATGAGGCATGACAAACTCTTCATAACTGGTAGATCCAGCCAGCCTTATCACAGTGAGACCAGGAATAGACAACCTCTCATTTCTGATCTGCGATTTCTTTTGTAAAATGAGTTAGTGAACCCAGTTCACTGGCTTGGTTCAAGATTCAACCAGAACGCACAGCGTTTCCCTCTTTCTCCCTCTCTCTCTCTCCCACCCCCCTATTGCTGTTTTTCCTGCCTGTCCTGGAACTCACTCTGTAGCTCAGGCTGGCCTCGAACTCAGAGATCCACCAGTTTGCCAGGTGCTGGGTTTAAAGGAGTGTGTCATCACGGCCCGGCTCACGCCCAGCATTTCAAAAGCACACAGGAATGCCGGTTCAACGTTAACAATTTTGGGGAGGATTGACTCAGGACAGACCAGCTTCGGCGGCGCAGCTCTGTGAAGGAAGGTAGTAGATCCATCCTTGCCTTCCTGACCACACAGGATCTAAGGTTTAGGCCTGAGCGTTGCTCGCTCGCCGCCCACAGTGTCGCCGCGCCCCCTGGCGGCCGTCAGTTGCCATGTCAACGGCGGGTGGCTGAGACGACGAGGCGGCAGCGGCGGCAGTTCTCTTCCCCGGGCCTCAGGCCGCTCCCTCAGCACCTCCTGCCTTCGCCTCACCGGGAGCACACTCCCGGCCCTGGAAGAAGGGCCATTCTGTGGCAGCTGGCAATAGGGGGGTAAACTGAGGCGCGCAGGAGGGCGCCGCAGGCAGGTGTCTAGTGCGGAGCCCCACCTCCAAAGGCAGAGGAGGGGCTGCGAGAAGTGACGCGCCGAGGGCGGACGCTGGACTGGGAGCGGGAGGGCGGGAGGCGGCGGCAGCGGCAGGTGCGGCTGCGGAGGGTGGGAGGAGGAGGGAGGGGGCGGGCGGAGGGGGAGGGGAGGCCAGGACGGGCACCTCCCCCTTTATAACGCGCCCCCTCCCGGGCTCTCGGGCCGCCTCCTCGTCTGCTCTTCCTATCTCGCCCCCTTGCCCGTCCGCCCCGGGCCGGGCTTGGCCAGGGAGCCTCCGCCCCCAGGCCTTCCCTACCACCCCCCCCACCCGCCGCCCCGCGCAGCCCTGCGGAGGCGGCGCCGTCGGAGGAGGAGGAGCAGGGCACTGCGGCTGGCCCCGGATCGGGAGCCAGAGCGGCAGCAGCTTCGGCAGCAGCACGGCCCGAGCCAATGCAGCGGGACGCACCGCCGCGAGCCCCAGCCCCAGCGCCACGGCTCCCTGCGCCCCCGATCGGGGCCGCCAACAGCACTGGCGGCGGCGGCGGAGGCGGGGGCAGTGGCGGCGGCGGAGGCTCCACTGCAGCTCCGGCTCCCCCTGGCCTCCCGGGAACTACAAGTCCCAGGGGGCCTGGCGGCGGGCGGAGACCGGAAGAGGCGGGCTCGGCACCTCGAGGCCGGAAGTGGCCTTGGAGGCGGAAGTGGCGCGGCCGCGGAGGGGCCTGGAGTGTGGCGGGACCGGGTGCGGCGGGAGCTGCGGCTGGGGGCGGCGGCGGCGCTCTGGAGGTGGCCATGGCCAAGCAGTACGACTCAGTGGAATGCCCGTTTTGCGATGAGGTCACCAAGTACGAGAAACTTGCCAAGATCGGCCAAGGCACATTCGGGTAAGATTAGGCCGCGTGGGACCGGGAGCCCAGGACCTGCACTTTCCAGGGCCGACGTCGGATCGCTCCCGGCCCGGGCCGAGGTGGTCCGGAAGCTTCTATTTCTTTGGTTGTTGCCTGATCTTGCTAGGCGGCGCCGCTGACGCTCCCGGCTTAACCGAGCGGACTGGCGGGGAGGAGCCTGAGGCCCGTGATGGGGGTTGGGTAGGGGTTGCTGAGAGGAACTCGGAATGTGAGCGGGCACCTCTGGGGGACGAGTAGGGGCAGTGTAGGAGTAAGAGCAGAGGCCGGGAGAAGGACAGAAAACACGTGTTGTGGAATAACTGCATGCGAGAGTTGGGGCCGCACCCCACTGTGTGTCTGGTCTCCCGATGCTCCTCTTCGCGTGGGGGAGGGGCGGCCCCTGCGGAAATGTCTGATGGGTCCCTTGGGTCTCTCTCTGTGCCTGCAGGGAAGTATTTAAAGCCAAGCACCGTCAGACGGGCCAGAAGGTGGCTCTGAAGAAAGTGTTGATGGAGAATGAGAAGGAGGGGGTGAGTATATGGACCACTGGGCAGACCTTCTAACCTGTCCTGGTTTCCACACTGCTATTCCAAAGGTTTTGTGCTGAGATTCCATCTAGTAGTTTTTGATTTTCTGTGTAACAAGAAATCTGGCTTTCCACTTAGACTTTTGAGTTTTTGTGGCAAAGTTTGGTGGGAGCCAAGTGAGGGATCCTGTGCGTTCTGCTCAAAAAGCCAGCTGCACGGTGACTCTAGAAGTTGGATCTTTGAAAACTTTCAGCTTAGCTTAGCGTTTACCTTTGTTTCTATGAAGGAACAATTTGTGCACGGGCGGTTTAAAAGGCAACTACACTTAAGGTGGTGTTCTGAAGCATGTTCCTGTCAGCTTCAGTACAGCACTGTCTTTGTAAGGAAAGAGCTGTTTGTCTTACTTTGTGCTTTTGGGTGCTTTGTTTTCTGGCATGTCTGTACAGCATGCTTGTCCTTACCTGAGGAAGCCAGAAAGGTGTGCTAGGCTGCCTTGGATCATTTGGGACAAGAGTTAAAAAGATCTACCGTGTGCGTGCTGGGAATTGAACCTGGGTCCTCTGGAAGAACAGCCAGTGTTGTGGTGTGTGGGTGTGTGTGGGTGTGTGGGTGGGTGTGTTTCCCTGAAACAGGGATTCTACACAAGTTTCATTTGTTTGATACAAAATTCCTCTGTACTCCCAACTGTATTGGAACTCACCTTTTGCTCCAGGCTATCCTCAGACTCACAGAGGATCAACTGCCTGTGGCTCCTGAGTGCTGGAAATAAAGGCCTGGGACGCCACACCTAACCATAGCTGGTTTCCATAACCATTCAGCTATCTCCAGCCCCAGGAAATTTCTTGATCTTAACCCTAAAGTTGCCGGGCAATGGTGGCACACGCCTTTAATCCCAGCACTTGGGAGGCAGAGGCAGGCGGATTTCTGAGTTTGAGAGTTCGAGGCTAGCCTGGTCTACAGAGTAAGTTCCAGAACAGCCAGGGCTATACCGAGAAACCCTGTCTCAAAAAACCAAAAAAAAAAAAAAAAAAAGTGTTAGTGCCAAAGACTTTATCCCTATTTGGGTTGTCTAAAATAAATTCCTAGCCCAACATAGAGGGTTATTATTTATAATCCCAGCACTTATGAGGCTGAGGAAAAGAGATGGTTCACAGACAAGTTCAAGGCCACTAGATGGCAAAATCTAGCAGCTCCTTGAGATATGTGTGTGTTTGTAACTTATATTTTGCAAAGGCTGGTTACAGATACATTTTTTTCCTCCCCTTCCCTGCCTTTTGAAGCAGGAGCTCAACTAACCAGGCCAGCCTTGAACTTGGGGCAGTTCTGGTGTCCCTTTGACTCCTGATACTGGGATTGGATTCCAGATGGGAATCATCACACAGAACCGATATTCTCACATGCCTTTCAAACTCTATCCCTCAGTATAGACCACAAACACGCACGCCAGTTCCTTGGTCTGGTGCACTCTCAATTTTGACCACTTCCTCTTTTTCTCCTCCCTAGTTCCCTATCACAGCCTTGCGGGAAATCAAGATTCTACAGCTCCTGAAACATGAAAATGTGGTCAACCTAATTGAGATTTGTCGAACCAAAGGTTTGTTGCTTGGCTCTTGGAAGAGGATGAAGCTTAAGGTTTTGCTTGTACTCCTACGGTGCCTGAGACACAGACTTAGCACACAGCTTCCCTTTTGTTTTGGTTTGGTTTTTTGGTTTGAGATGGTTTCTCTGTGTAGCCCTGGGTGTCCTGGACCTTGCGCTGTAGACCAGGTTGGCCTCAAACACCCACCTCTGCCTCCCGAGTGCTGGGGTTAGAGGTGGGCATCACCACAGACCATCCAGCTTCTCTGATCTTTCTTTGTTGGATCTTTCTTTGATGTCTGTGGGTTGGAAGGCTGGGATTTGTCTGTGGAAAATGAGTTGGGTGCAGGTTTTTTATTTATTTTCTCCCCTTCCCATTCTGCATCAGCCTCACCCTATAACCGCTGCAAGGGCAGCATCTACCTGGTGTTCGACTTCTGTGAGCATGACCTTGCTGGCCTGCTGAGCAATGTGTTAGTCAAGTTCACATTGTCTGAGATCAAGAGAGTAATGCAGATGCTGCTGAACGGCCTCTACTACATCCACAGAAACAAGGTGAGGGCTGGGGTTGGGAGGGCAGACTGGGGCTTCTTTGCTCTTGTCTGCTGTGTAGGTGGGGCTCCAGGGTACTGCAGAAACCGACCGAGCTCTCTCTCCTGTGTCTGCCCTGCAGATCCTGCACCGGGACATGAAGGCTGCCAACGTGCTCATTACCCGGGATGGGGTCCTAAAGCTGGCAGATTTTGGGCTGGCTCGTGCCTTCAGCCTAGCTAAGAATAGCCAGCCCAACCGATACACCAACCGTGTGGTCACATTGTGGTACCGGCCTCCGGAGCTGCTGCTCGGTGAGGACTCCCGAGCGGGCAGAGGGGGACGGGGCCGGGTATCTACCTGGCCACAGCCCCCATTGCCAGGGGCCTCTTGAGCCATCAGCCCTGGGACATGGAGTCTCAGGAGGCCCTCGGGCTTAAGTGGCACTCCTGGTACCCTCTTTTTCTCAGGAGAGCGGGACTATGGCCCGCCCATTGACCTTTGGGGTGCTGGGTGCATCATGGCAGAGATGTGGACGCGAAGCCCTATCATGCAGGGTAATACAGAGCAGCACCAGCTTGCCCTCATCAGCCAGCTCTGTGGCTCCATCACTCCAGAGGTGCGTAACCAAACTGCGTGTCCTAAGGGCTGCAGAGATACAGGTCCCTGTGGCCAGTAGTGGAGAGTGAAGTCCTTTCTGGAGAGGAAGCTGATTGGTGGAGGCCGTAGGCCGCTATTCATAGTCGTATGGTGCTCACTCTTAAGCCTGTTAGTTTATGGACTCTCTTGCTGTGGCAGAGTACCTGAGAAAAACAAAAGCACCAAGATTCATTCTTGTTCAGAAACTTTCAGCCTGTGGTTGTTTAGCCTTTGCTTTGGTGCAGATATACTGCTAAATGTCATGGCAGAGTCCACTGGAGATGGGGTGTGGTCATGGCAGGGAGGGAACAGAAGAGCAG